GACTTTTAATTATATTTTATGATACTTTATAACATCAATGTAGCTATATTATTGCTTTTTATCCTTAATTTTTCCTTTAGAGTGATTAGAGCTTATTCTTAAAAGTTTGGATATTCTATTTATAAGTCTTCTAGTAATTAAAAAGATCGATAGTTTTTATTTATTACATTAGATAAGAAATCCATATTATTAATAAATAAAGTAACACCTTATTTTTATTTTATTATACTTTAGTAAAATTTTGCCAGATAATTTTTTGAGTCTTCTTTTAAAACTTTCTCAAACTTTTCTAAAGCTCTTTAGTATTCCTACTAGTTTATTAATTCAATTCCTTGTTTCAACCCTAATTGTAAAATATTATGAATACAGAGATCGATAATTTCTTTCTCAAATTAAGTCTATTTTATTTTTGTATTCCAATTCTTTACTCTGTCAATATTATCAAGTAATTCCTTAAATTTTTATTCTTTAAAGTTTTTGGCTATCTCCTTAAACTATGCTGTTCTTTTTAAATATTTTTGATAGTTTTTTAATACTCACATTTAAACTATTCAAAGTTCTAATCAGCTTATTCTTAAAATTAATCTAGCTTATATATAATTAAATCTAGGATTATATCGATTTTATCAAATGGTTTGCAGTCAATTCTACAATTTAAATGTTTTTAAGGATTGATTAGACAATTCACACAAAATTGAGATTTAGGCTCCTGACAATCAGCAAAAAGGCAAAAACCGACAATTGAACTTCCTTCATGTTCTAAATTTTGACAAAAAAACATTTGTATCTTTTTTAATTTAAATTATAATAAATCTTATTCATAATATATGCCATAAATATAGGTTTTATTATATTATAATTGACAAACTTAGTCATAATTAATAATTGAATTCGTATTATGGAATGAGGATCATTTGAATTTTATGTTTTATTAAGAGAAAATCAGATGATTTCTATGAGAAAAATTAAAAAATTCTTCTTTATTCAAAACATTTTTCTATTATTTAATAATTTCTATTAGACTATGATTCATCACTTGAAAATATCCATCTTTTATCATTTCCTTTAGATACATTTCACTCTTGATTTTCTGATTTGCATGAGCTTTAGAAATTCTTTTTTACTTGAATAAACAATAATCAGTATTGTTTAAGCGCTGTAATAAATTTCTAATTGGGTCTTATTTACAAACAGAATTATTTTCCATCTTAACTTTCAAAATTCAAAAAGTAAATTAACAATATCCTCAAAGAATAATCATTTTTTAGATTCTGTTAATTATAAAAGAAAATAGATTAAGTAAATATTAGACTTAATTATTTCTCTCCAAATAAAAGTGCATAAGAAAACCAACTTGAAAGGTAATTTGTTATTAAAACAAAAATACTTATCTTTATTTCATTTAGCATTGAAGAAATTATTATTTTAGTTAAATAGAAATTATAAAAATTCCCACCTATTACCTCATATTGATATTCATATCAAAATAGATCAATTGAATAATAATCTCAATCTTATATATTTATTATCATTGCATATATATTTCATCAGTTTCTGTTCTGGCTCAATTTCCCTAATAAAATTTTGTTTATGTCTATAGACTAAACTATGAAGAATATTTTAGTTTAAATGCATCTTCTTTTGATTACTTAACTTTTGGTTTATAATTATTGTATCATCTTTTTAAATTTTGGATTACTTTCCTTTGAATTGATTTAATGATGTATTCTATACTAATTTAATTACCTCGTTTTATCAATCCAATTATAGATTATTCTGAGAAAATGCTATATATAACTTTAGAAATCAACTTATCTGCTAAGTATATTAATCAAGTATATCTTAGTATCAGTATCAGTCTAAAAATTTCCTGTTCTTTATTTATTTATTTTTTCTTTCTTTCCAATGTATCTATTTATTTTATTAAAACGAATATTAAATTAATTATATCTTAAACAATTTTTTAAACGGTACACAAATCAAAATTATAAAAATTAAATCATTTATTTTAAAATATTAAGAAAAGTAAGAGAGTAAAGATTTCTATCGTAAATCTACTGGAAGAGTTAATAGGAAAACAAGAGTAGAATTTTATTTGGATAGAAATAAACTTATCTGGATTGAGAACGAGAGAGCTAATATTAG